GTTTTTCTTTTGTCAAACAACCGACCCACAAATGAATGTTTCTCTAATTGTTTTGCTGGTAGATAATTGTGAAACCCATAAACTACCCTCACACCCATTCATCATTGCTTGCCAATTTAAACCCATATAACTAAAATGGGAATCACACCTTTTTGTCTCTGTTCCCTTACACAGTATTTCTTTTACATTTGTCATATTCTTTTGCTGCTTATATTTTTCACTACATTCATATATGAATCTGATTCTAGGTTTTCTACCTAGACATCCTAAATTAGAGTTTTTAAACACCATTACAAAACTAATATCTTTTCCTACCTGTCTTACTAAAGAAATAAATGCTTCCCTGCTACAAATTAACAACTACACAATAATTTGAATTGTCATATTTTGCATTTACAAAAACTAACATTAAAAAAGCAATCTTTATGCCTTCCAAAGTTTACTTTAAAAATATAATATTATCTTTTCAGTAATAAATAAAAAACTACAATCATATTTGGCATCAAAATTCTTTGGTGATTTATTCCACTTTATCAGTGTAATTTTCAAATTATTCTGAATGTTAATTAAATAAAAATAAAAAAATATTGCTTCCAGAAATGCATTTTTTGTTCATTGTAGTGTTTTTCAAAAATACATTTTTAGTACATTGAAAAGTTTTCAAATATTTATTTCTAGTAAATTTCCCATGTTTTCGAAAATTATTTTTTGTTAAATTTCTTGCATTTCTAAAAATAAATTTCCCAAAGCTACTAAATAATCATAGATACCATAATGTTTAGATCCGTAGACCTATCGCTAGACATTGACTTGAAGAGTCGTCACCAATCTTTTTTGTTTAGGTGCAATTGGTTACCTAACTGAATTTATCTTTTTTAAAGAGAATTCCTAAGTTCGAAAAAAGTAAATTCAATGTCTGTGAAATCAGAACTAGGTCTAAGAGTACAATTATGTGTGAGGAAAGTTATAACACCTCACAATGCCCATCGAAAGATGGTACCAGCTCAATTTCATGTTATCCGATAAGCCTTAAAAATTTTACCAAGTAATTAATTATTAAAAATTATTCTTAATTAACTCCAATACTTTTGACAAAAAATTTAAAAAATTTTCTCACCTCAAGAGTATGTAAGAAAACTATTGTTTCTCTTGCAGAAGTTCTATTGTCGAATTATTTAACATTTAAAAATTTTTCAAAGAAAGAAAGAAAAAAAAAGAAAAAAATAATGATTTGACTTTTGATATAAATATTTTTCTTTTTATTTTATATAAAAAAATCATTGCTTTTATACAAGAAAAATTGAAACTTTCAACTTTTCCTAAAAAATATTTTTCTTGATAATTTTTATTTTTTAAGGAAAATTGGTACTTCCAACTTTTCTTCAAAATATTTTTTTTAAAATTTGATTTTCAAGAAAAATTGATACTTTTAACTTTTTCTCAAAAATATTTTTTTTATTTTATTTTTTATTTTTAAGAAAAATTCATCTTTCAACCTTTCCTCAAAAATATATTTTTTTAAATTTTATTTTTAAAAAAATTATAGAAAAATGAAGAAAAATAATTTCAATTTAATCAATAAATAAATAGACAGAAATAATAATAATAATAATAAAATGAAAAAAAATTTTAACGCAGCTCGATTCAGCGACTAAAACGACTTGGCTTGAGGCACAAAAGTGGCAAAAAGGCGTGGCTCAGGTGGTTCGGCTTGGCTTGACTTGAAGATCGGCTGGAACATAGGTCAGCCAGAAACGGGTTAATCCGAATCAAAATGCGCGGATCTTGGGATCTCTTAATGCCCAAAACGACGTCGTTTTGTGATAGTATAAAAAGCTGAATTTGATCTTTCTCTTCCTTTCATTTTCTCTCCCTCTCTCTCTAAGATTCAAGACCGCAGGTTGAATCCTTTATCAAATTCTGGGATTTTCGTCGGAATCTGGGTAGGGTCACTGGATTCTAGCTGAAAGTTCATCGATTTTTAGGAAAATAAAGGCCAAAAACTGGAAAACTTCACTAGAAACTTTTAATATTGCTGGAAAAATCGTCGAAAAATTTAAATCTTGCCAAAAAATTTATTGAAATCTGAAATTTTTTCAGAAATTTTTCAAAAAAAAAAACAACAAATTTCAAAAATTTTTCTAAAAATTATAGACCTACCTTTAAACTTTTTCACTTTTGTTTTCTTTCTGTGTGCTTTCTGTGTGTTTTTGTTTTTGCTTCTGATTAATAGGTATTTATAGGATGCTAGATTCATTCCCATTTTTATTATTTTTAAATATTCTGATTATTATCTCCTAACCGAAAATTAATCTGAAAAAGAAAAGAAAGAGAAAAAAAATTTTAGAAGAAAAACAAATCAATAAATCAATAAATTACATAAAAATAATAATCAATTAAACCTAAATCTTTGGGTTTGACTAACCCCATTTAGACCAAGCCCAATTGATTCGAGCTTAGATCAAATTAGGTGTCTACACTGGATATGTATATCCGGTTACATAAAGATTCTTTTAGAAATTCATTTATGATAACTCATATTTGAACACATATAGATACTTTCGGAAATAAATTTTTATAAACTCAATATATTTTTTAGAAAAAGTAATTTTAGAAAGTGTGAATTTAGAGATAAAATCAACTTACTTAATTGTCATCTCCCAAATCTTCATTACTTAGTTGTTTCTCTTAAGTTCACTTTTCAATTTGACAGTATATAAGATATTACAAATTTTGATTGTGAATTTTGATAACAATATATCTTGTTGCTAGGAAGAACGAGAGAAGAAAGTTGTTAGAAAGAAAAGAAGAAGAGAAGAGAAAAGGAGAAGAAGAAAAGGGTGCATGAAAGATAAAAAAGTAATTTATTAATGGATATTTAAATAATTTTATTAAAGATTAAGTCTATAATATAAGTTTTAGAGTGTAGTGAGTAAATTTTGGGGTGCAAATAGAACCTTTCTTTTAAATATTAGATTTTTGGGCATTTAAAATGACACCAAGGTAATAGATATACGCTAGAAAGGAGTGTGGGTCATTTTAGGTGTAGATTTTCTAAGGATTGGGTTGCTAGAAAGACATGTGGGTCATTTTTCAATAACAATGTACTAGGTGTATATTTTTCCAAGGACTGGGTTATTGATCGAGTGATTCCGGCTCAAGTCAAGTTTGGCCTTGGACAAGCTTTTTTAAGCTTAGGTTTGGTCCAACCAAAGTTGAAATATTATTTAATTAATAAAATTATTTTATATAATTTTAGTTATAAAATATACTTAAAATAATAATATATTAATATATTTTTAAAAAAAATTTAAAAAAAAATTTTATTTTTTTTTAGCAAAAATATCATGAGTGAGGCCAACTGGGCTCATGAACAAGTCTAGTTAGGCTTTGCAGGCAAATTCCAGACATTTTAAACATTGAAATGTTGAAACTTTAAAATGATATCAATTAAACATGGAAAGTGTTATACTTTTGGTTGTATAAAATGCCACTAATATAAATTATCTATGTTTCTCATGGTTTACTATGCCTTTAAAATTTGAAAATACAACAACTTAGTTGAAGTGTAATTTGTTTTGAGTTTAGCGGCATCAGATAAAGATATGAGGAAAATTTTTGGTTAAATGCCAATTCTCTCGACAAGGTCAGTTTCAGTGGTCATGCGTGCAGCGTTTTAGAGTTGTGCCAGTGGAAGTGAGCTTCACGAACGACATTTTAAGGCGTCTTACAGTGGTCATATATCAACATATAACTATCAATCTTCCTTTAAAAACTTTTCATATTATATTCTATTCCTAAATTATATGCTTTTGCAACATAAAAAGTTCCGAAGGTTATTGAAAACTGGAAAATAATTAAAGCTTTACAATAAATTAAGCCCATGCTTTATTCGTATCTAATAATGATTTTAAGACCAAGAAAAATTACTTAGTGAACTAAATAAGAAAAATAAAAATAAAAATTTTAAAATAAAAATTATGGTATTAAGAAGAAAACCTATAGTGATCTTAAAATCGAGCTGGTAATAGCGTACAAAACAAATTTTTTTACAAATGCACTCTATATTTCAATTTTAATTGAATCAATATAATTCGGTTAATTAATTAGTAGACCATTAAATTAATTTTGATCGGCTATCAAACATGATTTTAAAAGAATTTTGATTTTCGATTAATTTAATTCAAGAATTGAATTAACCTAAGTTTTAACTAAAATATAAAAAAAAAAAACCAAAACTAAAACTAAAAAGATATGAAGTAAACCATTTCATTTTATAAACTGTTAGAGTTTTTAATTTAATGGTATTAAATATTTTATTGGACAATTTTATTTAGTTTTTTTCAAATATAAAAAATTAGGGTTTAAAATATAATTTAACTTAAATATATTTTATTATTTTATCAATTCTAAAATTAACCAAATTAAATTTGATTTATTAGATTTTCAAAACTAATAAATTCAATACAATTAATAAAAATAAAATAGCATATAATTTTATTTTGATTCACTCAATTCAAAATTAATCAAATTAATGTAATAAACATCCTTTGCCACTCTTAACCCTAACCCTAAGCATGTATAAAGTATATAAATTGAGAGTGCATTAAATATAAACTCTTTATTTTTAGAATTTTAAAATTTAATATTAATTTTTTAATGAATTTTCTTTGATATCTACACACTGACATTAGATGAAATATAAACTGTTAATATTTATATAAGGTAGGGTAGGTACTAGGTAGTGCAGAGATACGTGGATGGCACCAAAGACCAAACCCTAATTCCATTGAATTGGAAGGAAAGAGTGAGACAGGGAATTGGGATCAATCTCACACCGCCCATTAAATTGACAAACAAAAAGATTCCTAGTGGGAAGGGCACGTTAGTGAGTTCAGGGGCCTTAAATAACGACTATGAAATGGAAACGTTATTGCCAAAAATGGTGGGAATTTGCACCTGCAAAGTTCTTTGATTTAGCTAAAACTACAACGTCCTCTCTGCCCTTTCGGCAAATTACAATTCCAACGCCTTTTTCCAACTCATAGACTAAGACTCCCCCATCTCTCTCTTCCTTTTGTATTCATTCTAGCTCATTATCTCCCCCTCTCTAGATTGACAAACAAAGCAAAGGGCTATCAGCCGATCTACAGACCAAACATTTTTCCTTCTTTGGAATTCGTAATTTTCCGAAAGCTGAAGTGACCGGAAGTGTGACCAAAGCTCAGGTCTGTCCGTGGGCTTTTTCATCTTCTTTGAAAGAAGATCTTGTCAAAATATGTATATACTTACTTTTTATAACAATATCTGTTTACCTAAATGCATGGTTTTTTTGCTTTTCTTAAGAGGTTTATATATCTTCTTAGATCTGTTGTCAGAGCAAGGGAATCTTCTATATACATCCTTGCATGAAGAAGATCTCTTTTCCATTTCTTTCCCTTCTTTTCTCAGCATAATCACAGATAATTCTTTGGTTTCCAACAAAATACATGATGGGTTTTCTTCGTTTGTCATCCCTACTTGATCTTCAGACGATGCTTTTTCTTCTTTTCCTTGATTGCCACTGCTTTAATACCTTTGTCATACCTATATTTTATGGTTTGAATTTCGGACAATCTGTACAGATCTGTTCAAATCTCTTCAACTTCCGTTCCTTTAGAGTTGATATCCTTTTCTTTTCAAGTTTTTATCAGCCAAAAATAATAGAAGTTCTCTATCCTTTTCTAGGTCTCCGTTGAGGGCCTATGCTAGACTAGTGCGACCGTATACGCACGCACATTCATACTGGAGAAAGAGGATGGGTCTATATTTATGAAATAAATAAAACCCAAAAATCTTGTTCATTTTTACTAGCTAAAGATTGAAAGTTTCTCGGAAGATAGGGTATGGGAATGACTAACTTTTTCTCCATGCCCTTCTTATTAATTGATGCAGGTTTTCTCAGTGGTTTTGCAACCTTTATTACTTCTACTTAAGTCAGAAACAATCCATTGTTTTGGATCTGCTTCTACTCACAATTTTCTTCTTAGCTTTTCATCACTTTTTTTACTGATCACATCAGATATTTCCAAACCCAAAAAACCAAAAGAAAAGAAAGAAAAGAAGCCTTAGGAGACAAATTCTAAGTCGCCAGGGTGTATTGCTGCAGGTTGTTTAGGAAGAATTCTGTGAACTGAAAAAGGGTTAATTTGGTGAAGATGGGAAGAGGAAAGATCGAGATCAAGAGGATTGAGAACACCACCAATCGTCAGGTTACCTTTTGCAAGCGCAGGAATGGGCTGCTCAAGAAAGCTTACGAACTTTCAGTCCTTTGTGATGCGGAAGTGGCTCTCATTGTCTTCTCCAGCCGTGGCCGCCTCTATGAGTACTCCAATAACAAGTAATTAACTTCTCTTTTCTTCCTCAAATCTCAATCTCACCTCATGCTATTTTTGGTTGTGAATTGTGATTGCTTTGCTTGGGATCAATTTCTGGCTTGTGGGTTCATTTTTTTATGTCATTTATTTTAATCACATGCATGGTTTGAACATTCTTCACAAGAAAAAGCTTTGACAAAAAACAAGAATGGGACAATGTATTTTCTGAGCTGAAAACAGAAAGTGAGCAGACAATGGAAGTCAGCCAAATCTTAAGTTAAGTGGCTGTGATTTTTAGCTATTTTGGAGAGTGTCAGAAGCTATTATCATATATATATATATTATGATATTATATTATATGTTTTATGAATTTAGATATTTAATTTCATATCTCTTGCATGTATAGCTGAGTTTCTTTTCTCTGTTAAAATTACCATTTCTTATTTCTGGAAATACGGGCAAAGTCTAGTCGATCGGCAGCTATCTTAAAAACGTTTATAATGACTTATCCTAAAAAATAAAATAAAAAATTTTATAATCTAATTAAATATCTTTAGATTTGTTATCCTTAATACTTATATTAGAGAATGCATGAAGTTCTCCTATATCAACTCCATATAACTGAAAGTTAATACTTTTTTTCTGTCAAAATAAAATTTTATTAAATAGTAATCAAAAGGTTACAAATATGGAACCTAAAGGTTTGAAAGACCTACAAAACACTAAAAATCTAATATGATATTATATCAATAGTAAATAAGATATCCAAGAGCAGTGACAACTGATAACAACAAAAGTTCAAACATTCACAAAAACCCAAAATCGAATAATCAATAAAACTAATCTAAAAACCCAGATTACTAAGGAACTTGAACTTGCACAAAAAATAAATGCACCTTTCTCTTTATCCTGGACCAAAGCACAACCAGATCTTGAGAATTCAATCAGGAAGGCTCCAACAAAGCAACATGTCAGCAACTCCTTCCATCAATTGCTAGCAAAGATATCAGAAACATCGAATGACCCATCAGAATACTTTACTAGAAAAAAGAAACTAAGATTCCAATTAAACACCAATCAAACGGACTCCGAACTACTTTCCTCATGAGCTTGCTTTTCTTTCTTCATTTTCATAAATTTTTTTTAATTACGATATCTTCCTCTTGATAAGAAAGACCAATCTTTTTTTCCAATTCTGACGGCTTCATCATACAAAGTACTTATATTTTGGATTAATAAAGATAGAAAGTAAATATAATTTTAGGTCCAATGATAAATGCAGAGTCTCTCGGATCATGCTATCTAATAAACTTTAATGAACTTTATATTGTTCATGTGTCTTAGCACAAATGAACTCCATAATTTTCAAGTGTCTTAGCACAAAGGTCATATCTCCGCCTTCATTTTTGTCTTGCAACTGTATTAAGGTTTCTTAGGTTTTTTTATCACTACCAATTTTATAGAAATTCACAACAACAAAATTATCGTTATATAAAACATAAAAAATCCAAATAAGTTATAACAATTAAAAATATTAAAAATATAATAATATTTTACAACGATATTTTTATTCGTTACAATTGTAGTTGCTAATAATACATTTTCTAATAGAGTTCTTTGTTTTCCTTTCAAAGTCCGTATGCTTTTTTTTTCTTCTTCTTCCTTCATGTTTGAAGACTTCTAGCCGATGCCAAGTGCCTTGAGCTTTTGGCTTTTACACAATTGAAATTGTGTTTCACTTTCCACCAAAATTGTCAAGTCTCTATTACAGAAACAGTGACCCTACGACTTGGGAGGTCAATAATGGGTTAAAGGATCTATGGATTAAGTATACATAATGTTATAAGTGAAAAAATCTTTGGTTTTCTTAGTAGGTTTCGAATTATCAAATGAATTATTGTGAACACTTAATTTTATCTGATGTCATTTGAAATTGTTTTGAATCCCAATTGTGGTGAGCTATGAACTAGTCCATTCTTTGGTGGAGTTGTTTATGATTTGGACCTCTTAAATCAAAGGCTTAATGAGTTAATTTTGGTTTAATTTATGGTATTGGATTTTAAAAAATAAATCAAATAAATAAATTTAAAATTTTAGGAATAAATCTCAAGTGAAGGAGAGTTTTTGGACTTGAAATGGCTCCGGCCGATGGTGTTTGGCAACGACTTGTGAAGGCTGACGTGGTGCTCGCTAGTTGAAATCTGAAAAACTAGGTTGAAAGATCATTTGAGATGTAAAAGAGAGGGAGGATAATAAAATTAGAGAGAGAAGCTAGCCAAAAGAAATGAAAGAAGAAGACAAAATTTAGCTTTTATAGCAGCATGAAACACTGTATTTCAATTAAGTAAAGAAGATCCATGCCTCAACCCGGATTTCGATGCGGAGCTCGCGCTTGAAACCCAAACCTGTAAATTCAACACTAAGCCGCACCACTGAGTCAAGCCAAGATTTTAGCCTTTCCAAGCTAGTTTCTGTTCCTTCAACTGAGCCATTTTCTAATCCTCGTCAAGCCGATTTTTTTTTGTATATTTTTTTATTATTTTTTTTATTTGTTTATTTTTGAAATATTATACATGTTTAAATTTTTAGGAAAAATTAGAACTAATTATAAAAATATATAAAATAAAACTTTAATATTAAAAATAAATAATAATTATCCAATGATTAGATTATTAGAAATTACAAATGATTAATTTCTAGAAAATTTTCAGGCAAGAAATTTTTCTTTAAATTTTACCCAAATTAAAAAAAAAATTTAAGTAAAATTTTAATAACAATAATTAATATTTATTTTCAAATTACAAAAGAAATATAAATAAATTTAATAAAATTTTAGGGAATGAATTAAGAATTATTCAAAAGATGAGATTCCTAAAAATTTCAAATGGTAAATTTTCTAAAAAATCTTTAGGTGAGAAATTTATCTAAATTTAACCCAAATGGTGAAATAATTTTAATGAAATTTCAATAAAAGTAATTGTACTCTTCTCCAAACTAAGAAGTAAAACCATAAAATTTTGTTTGAAAATAAATTCCAATGATGAAATTCTTAATAATTGCAAATGAATGATAATCTAAGACATTTTTAGGTGAAAAAATATTTCTAATTTTGGCCCAAATGATGAAAAAAATTAGACATATTTTTAATAAAATGAAAATTTAACAAAAAATAAATGATTAAGTTTTTCTGACGATGGAGCATTTTAAAAAAAAACAAATGAGATTTTTAAATACTCTAGAGGTAATGAAATATTTTTAAGAATTCTATCAAATTAATAAAAAATTTTAAAAGTTATTTTCAATATTAAATTTAAGACTATTAGAACTATAAAATTTAAAGATAATTTATAATTAAATGGGCATATATTATGGAAGTGCTATAACCTTCCTTATATTTAACTGAACTTTCAAATCTAATTCTGTTAAGAAAATTAGAACCTATTTTTTAAAGATTGATAATCAAGATTAGGATTAGTGGTCAATCAAACTTTAATAAAAAATTGATAAAGATTTTTTAAATTATATTTAATTATAAATTTATAAATTTATACTTTATGATAAAAATAAAATATAAAAGAATAGAAAGTTCCAATATAAAAGTAAAGACCTTCCAAAGTGAGAGTGTGTGGTCCCATTTGATAGAAAATATAATAAATATATGTGACATGCTTTATATGCATGTGATGCATATGCTACATATTAAATGGAGAGTTGGTTAGGAAGCAGTGTTTTCGGAAACTGGCCTACGACATTGAACCGTTAAGGAATCATGAGGGCTATGACTTGTCTTCTGAACTAGTCAACTAGTTCAATCATTTTCATTGCCTAATCAATGATAATTATTAAAATCTAGTGGAGTATGTGTGTTCTTTTTTAATTAGAACATGTTCTGAATATGTATTAGCAATTTGACAATATTTGTTTTTCTTTACAAAGAAGATAGCAACTATAAGAATAAGAGAAGGAATGCAAGTATGAGAATTTGAATATCAGATCTGTTCAATGTCTTCTTTTAATGATACAATTGAATGAATCAACTCAATTAAACTTTGAGTTTGAAAACATTAGTTTTGATTAGTATGATGGTTTAATAATAAACTAATTGATTAGTTTGAAGGTGAAGATTCAAAAGAAGATAATCAATTATTGGTTTAAATTGGCTATTTTGATATTGGTTTTACAATCACTTGTTAGGAAGGCGTAATATATCCTAGGTCATGTCTGCAAGATATATAACTAATTCATAGACAAACAATTCTAACATAGATTAAGCACATTCGACTTGAGTTTCAATATATATCTACCATAATATATATATATATATGTATGCCTTTTCCCTAATGAGACACTCTAATAATTAGAACTTGATACGTATATTAAAAGTTTAATTAGATCTTGGGAGAGTTTATAAAATAGGATATATAATTAAAGCTACCTTTCTTTGTTTAACTCAAGTCGCTTGTCTTCGACATATTTTTAAAAAGTATTTGAGTATATAATTATAAATCTCTTAATTATTAAAAAAAATTTTAAGTTTGTGACACGAGCAAAATTATATCACCTCAATCGAGGAATTGATAAAGAAATCAGTTAAAAAATTTTAAAATATATTTACTAATAAAGCTATAATAATAATTTGAATTTCTAAGGAAGGAATTCAAATTTTAAAAAATAATTCATCATGTTTATGCTGTATTTTGGAAATTGTTTATTCCATCATTTTCTCTTTAATTATTCCATTTTAAGATAACTATAAACTTTTTCCTTTATTCTTTTAATATTTATATAACTATGTTTCACAATTGGATGTGTTATATGACCAAAATTAAATAGATCATTGACTTTTGAAATGCTTGTATACACTCTATGGAATCGATTATGAATCCATTGACTTTGTAGATTCAGTGTTAACGTTGGAGATAAACTCTGTCATATCAAGAAAAGATCGATATATCATATCAACATTGGCTTTCAATGTTTTTAATGTCAGACGTATAAGTCAACATCTGTTAGCACAGAGTTCCAAAAATTTCTGTTTCATTCTTTCTGAGATGCCAATTTCGGTTTGTCTGCTACTATTTCTAGCTAACCATGAAACTTTCCGATCTTTCTTTTCTTTCTATCTTCACTAAGATATGTAACCATTGCTTTGTTAGCTTTTCCTTCATTGATAAATTAATGCATTTAATCCGTGTCCTTTACCTTCCTGCTTTTTATTCCCACTGCTGAAAGAATGAAATAAAGCAAAAACAAAAAAAGGATGAGAGTTTTCTCCTCCCAGCAGCTGTTGTAGTGGCAGCAGTAATTGTAATTTGCATCCTCAATGGACCTAACTTCAGTTTTATAATATTTAAAAGTGGTAAAATTTAAATCGAATTAGATTTGATTTAAATTTTTTAAATAATATTTAATATTATAAATTTTTTAAATTCATTTCAAATTTGAATATATATATATTTGAAATTAATTGATTCGAATTGAATTTTATCGGTTTAGTTCAATATGATTAATCAATTTTTAAATTTAATTTTTTGTTTTTATATATTATTTTAATATAATTTTTAATATATTTAAATAAATTTATATATAAAATAATTAATTTTTTTATAAAATTTAAAATATATATAAATTAATAAAAATATATAATTTGGTTTGATTTAATTTTTTTTTATTTTTTTACATCTCAATTAAGAATTTGATTTGAATTTAATATATATATTTAATATTTAAATTTAATTTAATCAAATAAAACAATCCTAACTAAATTAAATACCATAGTTTTAAATTAGATTTTCATTTTTTTTAACCCTTAAGAATAAGCAAGTGAAGCAAAAAACGCTTTTAGTTCAATTACCACCTAAATCATCACGTCACATCGTTACAGTAGTGAGCCCTCCCCTCCCCACCGCCAGTCTCCATCCATCATTTTTCTTTTATTTCTGAGCAGTGCTCTTTATCTTATCCACCTCGTGCTATAACACCGCCATCATTCACAATATACTAATATTTCTTATTCTTCTATCTTTGTGGGTATTGGTTGAATTATTTGATTCCCTACCAACATCAATGGATTGAGAATTTTTTTTAAAATGTTCACATCTAATATATATATATATATATGTATATATATATATGTATGTATATTAGTGGATAAATTTATTAATTTTATAAAAAATATACATATTCGAAAAAATTTTAAATGTTTAGTAAAAAAATTTTCTTTAAATTTTCTTATTTTTTTATTTTTTGGATGTCTACATGAAAATTCTGGAAGTATCCAATAATTTGTTTTTTCAAATTTTTAAATTTTTAATTTTTGAGATATACATAGATACTCTAATTTATAAGGTGGATCCACCTATGATAATATGTAATATTGTGGATAGGACAAGCCCTTTATTGCCCAAACTTTTGATATTAATTTAAGAGTTCATATTTGATATATTATCAATATATATATATATATACATGATCGAAACATCATATAATGATATCTCATAAAAAATTTAATTTTAAAATTTTAAAATCTTAAAAAATACACTTAATCTTAAATATGTATTAAAATTTTTGTATGACGTAACATTGTGTGATTTATTGATAATGTATATTATTTATATGCTAATTGATCTACTACTTGCTTTCTTTGCTTGAGTAAGTTCATGCAATAAATATTACTGCTATAATAGTTTGTTTGAAACTTGAATCAGTTCTCTTCCATTTTTGTATGATTGCAATCTATAGTTGGTCACAGCTTTTCTGATCAGCTACAAACATCAATTTCTTTTCTAATCAAAAAGCCAAAGTTTTCCTTCTTCTCTTTTAGGGCTTTGAAGATTTCTATCCCTTGCTCTCATGGGAAGCAATCTAGATCCCTTTCTTTGCCTTCTTTTTGTCTTAGATTTTCATTATAAAAAGGATATTGGAACGGTCTTTCGTGCTTCGCTAGGCCTTTCCTTCATTGCTAACACAAAACAATGTTGCTCTCTAGTTTTGACTATCGTAATTCAGTTCTTAAAAGTTATTACTTTTACTAACGACCGTGAGACACACGTTCGAATGCAGCAAATATAGCCTAGATGCTGCGGTTCAATAAAGTTCGGTTTGGAAAAAAATGTATATTTAAAAAGTATGGTGAAAATTTGAGGTATGAGATTTTTAATATTTGTTATTATTGAGAAAAAAATCATATTTAAAAGCATAAATAAGCCATTTTTAATTTTATTTAATTAAATTATATCAAGATGTATAAAAAATAATTGTAAGACTTTAATTTTAAAAATTATACAAAAATACAAGTTTTAAATTTTCTTGAAAAGATTAAATATCTTCAAGCTAGAAAATAGGTAGTTATATTCCCTCTATATAAGTAATTCAAAATATATTAATATATCAAAAGATGAGAATGCTATATATTTAAAAATAATTAAAAAAATGAAAAAAATAATTAGGGAATAATTTTTTTTTCATAATTACAAAATAAGGAGGGTATTTGATAATTTCCCTTCAAACATAGTTTGCAAATCACAAAAACAGCTCCCTCCCAAACCATGCCATGTTTGTCATTACGTTAGTAGTCAAAACCCGTGTTTTGAAAGTCAAACACAATGCAAAACGATGTCTAAATAACATAAAACTTTTATTAATGTTGATTTAATTATATTGCATTGGATTTTAATAATGTTGATTTAATTAATTATTTCCGTGAGAATGAATACATCATAATTAGTAGTACATGAAACTTTTATTAATTTTCAATAATGTTGATTTAATTAAATTCAATTGAATTTTAATAATGTTGATTTAATTTTTTCCGTGAGAATGAATCCATCATGATTAATAGTGCATGATGTTGCTGATAGCTTTGCTAAATTAAGAGTGAATAGATCCAAAATCTTAGAATGGTAAAGTTAGATGTTGGTTCATTCTTTTCAGATGTAATTTTTTTTAGTAAGATATGCTACTCGATGTTTGCTATTCTGGTCATTGTTTTGTATCTGAGTTATTTATCAATGAAAATTTCTGCCTTTCAACAAAAAAAAAAAATGGTGCATGAGTCTTTCACTATGTTGTTCCTTCCTTCCTTTGTTCCTTTCCTTTCTCTTACATTTTTTAAACCTAGATAAACAAGTAACAAAATATATAATTGAGTATTCATGAATTATGAATTTGTTAATGCATTTTTTTACATTAAAGTGATATATATATATATATATGTGTGTGTGTTTATATATATGTGTGTGTATGTGTGTGCATGTAAAAATTATCTCATACATTGTCAATAAAATTTTTAAAATTTCACTAACGAGGTTAGAGTTTTTTTTTCTTCTATAATTAGTTAGAGGATTGACACACGATCATTTAAGATATGTTTAAAAAATCAAAAGATTAAAATAATAAAAAAATAAAACATGCATGACAATTTTTAACTCAACCTATGAAGTTTTTTTACTCAACAGAGCAGTATATAAATATAAATATATATATATATATATATTTATTAAGGAATATTATCTATTTTCTATTGCTTTATTTAGCTTTGTGATTTTGTGAAGAATATAAATTGGAACTGTTTGACTCATCAAAACAATTTGATTCAAATCTGCATGAATTTTACTCCTAGTTGACCCAAAATGTTAAAGTCAGAAATCTCATATATATAACTGAAGCTGGATATATTGATTCAAAAATTGAAGGACAATATATATGCATGTGTTTTATTAGTTTACATGCTTATTTATATGTAGAGTCCATGTGAATTTGGGTTTTTCTGCATGAATTCAGGAACTTGTTTTTTTGTTGGATGCAGCATAAGATCAACAATAGAGAGGTACAAGAAGGCATGTTCAGATAGTTCAAACACAAACACTGTTACTGAAATCAATGCTCAGGTAATTAATTTATTGTCATGAAGCATGCATGAATTTGCATGGCAAGATTGATGACCATTTTCCACAAATTTGTTCAACCAATGAATCTTACTTTTTCTTGCTATTTTGATTCATTGAACTGGCTGTAGTATTATCAGCAAGAATCGGCCAAATTGAGACAGCAGATACAAATGCTACAGAATTCTAACAGGTAATTAATATCCTTGAACAATGATGATATGAACAAAGAAAAAAAAAAGGTAGCTAGCAATGCCAGCTTAAAAATTCCGGGGCACTAAGCAATTATAGATAACAAAGCTTGCTTTTCAAAAATAAAACTTGAATTTATAAATGAAGATTGAAGATCTATAAATTAAACTCTATTGCCCAATTATAGCATTTTCTCCCATAATTTCCTGCATTTAAGAATTTCTTTTAAGAAAAGAGGAATCATAAAGATTGATGCAAGGATTTGGATAGATTTCTTTTCATATATGCATTGCACTTATAGATTTCTTTATATATATATATATATATATAAATTGAAGAACATAAAATTTTGACAAAAACACATTTGGTAAGAATCTTTTATGTTGATTCAATATTGATATATATATATATATATATATATATACATACATATATGTTGCTTATACAGGTTTTTTTTCTTTGTTTGAAGGCACCTGATGGGAGATTCCTTGAGTTCCTTAACTGTTAAGGAGTTAAAGCAGCTAGAGAATAGGCTTGAGCGTGGCATTACTAGGATCAGGTCAAAGAAGGTAACAAAAATAAGAAGGAAATATGACAATTTAAATGCATAATATGACAATTTAAATGCATCTAACTCATCAATTATTTATGTTCATCAAATTATCAATATTATTCCATAATTTTTTTTTTTTTATGTTCTTTTATATAATTAACTTTGGTTTCTTTTTGCTGCAACAGCACGAAATGCTGCTAGCTGAAATAGAGTATATGCAGAAAAGGGTGAATTCTAACTTTCTTATGACTTTTTCTAACGTTGTTAACCCCAATTCTATATTTAATGACTTTATATAACTTAAGTTGTACCTTAATTTTCGCTTTTATATAGGAAACTGAGTTGGAAAATGAAAGCGTTTGTCTACGAACCAAGGTAAACACATAATTTAATGGCTTCCCTAATAATATGATTAAAGGAAATTTATGCTAAAGAAATATGCCTTGCTATCCCAACACATACACTTATGCATTTATGTACATACACACAAACTAATTGTTTTGGCATGGATACAATAAGTTTGTGTATTATTAAAGATTAGTTACGGGTAACAACAGTCATGTGGTCTGTCGTTGTATCTCTAATGTAAAAGTTTACAATTTATAAGAAGTGACAGTATGCCCTAAATATCTGGTGCTGTTGATTGTTTTTGGTCTTAGAGAGACTAATTTTATGCAACTTATGTCAAACGCTAGATTGCAGAAATTGAGAGGCTTCAGCAGGCAAACATGGTGAGTGGACCAGAGCTCAATGCAATCCAAGCACTAACTTCTCGCAATTTCTTTAGCCCAAATGTGATTGAGGGAGGAATTGCCTACTCACACCCTGACAAGAAGATTCTCCATCTTGGGTAATTCTCTATTGCATTTTATTTTTACCCACTAATTTGTTTGCTTCCAAGCAGTTTTGTACTATTAATTTCTCCATAAATGATTCTCCAAGCATGCAAAAATGATATTGTTACTACATGAGTCAATTATTTATGTTCTATAATTAGGTGCAATTTCTCCTAAAATATTGAACTTGAAGCCTGCAAAATAAAATTTCAAAATCTAAAAAACATGCTTGGTAATTATTGATAATGAAAATAATTTTCATCTTGTATATATTAGTCTATCTTTTATATATACAAAGGAGAATATAGTTTTAAGTTATGAAAAGAAATTATAAATCTTAAAATTTAAATTTCAACATACCAATTGTTCAAAATAATTGCATAAATTAACTAAACGAAAATTTGAATTTGTATAATAATTGTTTTTGCATGTCAACATGTGTGATATTTTGTTTTATACTTTTACAGTTTTACGTTTTTTAAATGACCATATATATATATATATATACATTATTATAAATTCTTATACTTGACTTTAATTTACGTTACAAAATTAAGGGATGGGATTAATAACTAATTGTTTGCAACACTGATTGCAGGTAGAAAGTTGGAGAGAACAAATCTGAAAATGGTGTTTTTATATAATATATATGAAATAAGCATGCATTTGAACCATTTGTACGACTATTATGAAGTTGGTGTGATATAACTGTTACCGGTTATTTGCTTGTTTTTAATTGGAGTAGCACTCTCATTTATGGAACGTGCATATGGTTATGTTTAATTTTGCATGTGAAACTGTTTAACGTATTAATTAATACTATGAATTCCGTAGATACTTTATTTTATTCAGAATCTTTTAAAAAGATTTTCAACACGATTTGAATGAAATTAAATTTAACTATTAATCAGATTCCTTGATATCGAATTCATGTCAATTTAAATTTGATCTAAATTTGGCTTTAGAAAGTGTTAGGCCAATTTTAAATTCATCACTTTGGGCTTTATTTTTACCGTCGGGTTTATGGGTATTTTAATTTTCTGAAACCATAATTTAGCAAATGTAACATGCTTAAAATTTAATTATTCTCACCTAAACTATTATCTTTTTATTAAAAAAAAAACAATCTTAGATATGCAAAATGGAAAATTTAAACAATTCTGAAATATTTGAAAATATAAAAATAAACATTGGATCATAAATGGTATCGAGTTTTTACTCAAAAAATGTATATTGATTTTAAAATACTCCTTTTATCTCAAATTATTAATTCCCTTTTACTTTCATGGAATTTAAAAATAGTAAAATAAAAACTTTGAATTATTTGTTTCAATTTTTTTATAAATTTAATGTTCCATCATTTTTAATGTCTAAAAATAAGAAAAAAAATCAAGAAAAATAATTTTAGAATACAAAAAAAAAAAAAGATTTAAGTGTTACAATAAAAAGAAAAAATAGTTTCGGAATGAGATAGAAGAAGCTTTCGCACTAAACTTCTTCAGGAAAATTACAATAAAAATTAAATAACTGTCAATTATTTTCTTGCTGATTTTCTTTTCCTTTTTTCATCAAAAAAGAAACATATATAAAACCACGGAGCTCAAATCTGTTAAAACTTTAATAAGACAAGCTGAATTTAGAGAACGATGGTCATTTACTCAGAATTTAAATATTATAGCATTTTTAAAAGATTGAATTTGTACATATATATATTTGCAGTCACACACAAAGTTCAAACCAACAGGTTAAGAATAAAGAGGTGGGCCAGAAGGGTGAGGCATTCCACACAATTTTAACAGTTTCATCAATACCTAAGTCAGAGGATGGCACATCGGGCAGCTTGCTTCCGGAGCTCCTCAGTCTCTCTCTGTGCTCTTTCTAGATTCTCTCTGAGCTTGCGAATTTCATCATTTGATTTCATTTGAGCTAGCTGTGCCATCTCTTCAGCCTTCAGCCGCGCTGCCTGCTCCTCTGCTAACTGCTGCTCGAGCCTGGCAGTTGTCTCCTTCAGCTTTGACTCGACCTGTAGAACACCATCATTCATTAAGCGGAGAGACTATGAAACCATTAGTTATGGTGACTGAATGCATAAAAATTATCTCAATAATCCAAAAAACCAAAATTAGCCAAAGAAATATAGTCTGAAGCTGGAAGCAAGCATCTTTTGAAACAGAATAGACAAGCAATTTAAGTTTATTTGTGCTCGAGTCGATGAAGTATTGTCCTTCACGCTTTCAACATCAGAAATTAACCAAACTGTTCTCATATTTCAATTTGATTTGTATTCTTCTTTAAGCACAATAAAAATGCATATTAACCAATTCCAAGGGTGCTTCCCAATAACAAAGCATATGATAGTAACCACCATTGACCAAAAATCCTTGCCGTGATTTAGATCCCCAAAAGGAATTAAATGTTATGAGATTAGAGAAGAGGGAAGCGGAAGGAAAGCAAACTACATCTCAGTTCAAACACCCATAATGCTGAAGGAGATAAAACTACATTAACTTTTGGCCATTTCCTTATACTCTAAAGGTTTTCTCCTAAAAAAAGAATAATAAAAATTGTAGAAATTTAATTTCTGAACTTATGGCATTAACTTGTTCCTTCTGAAATGTGAAATGGCTGGGGCTATATCGTGATTAACACACATATTAGATTTTGAGCCACAAAGAAAAATGGTTGAGGTAGGTTGACAGCTGGCATAAAACCAGTCCCATCCAATGGACATGAATTATAAAATGGAAACAGTTAAGACATTCCGTCCTAGGGACATACTGCATTTGACCTGGGCAAAATGAAATTAACAAGGCATTCTTCATCAGCTGCACAACAGATCAATGCTTAGATATAAGAAGTAAGAAATGATTCTTACACGTTAACGGAGAGCCATAAGTAAACTTACATTACATGAGGCAAAGAAGGAACTAGGTAATAGATATCGTAACTTTAGTACAGATGGAAGGGCATCCATGAAAGAGTAAAAGCTACATTTGATGGAAGCCCAAACTATGTTTCTCTGAGTACATCAAAATGTCAATACCTATACTCCCAAGTTAGATTAAACAAGGCCAAAATGCAACACTTCAGGAAAATTACAGAGACTCAAGGATTCCTAGCTAAGACAACTATCAGGCACAATTTGAAAGGGTATCTGGGAAAAGATGGTGCAGGGTTCAAAAGGCTACACGATTATGGTTTTGGAGATAGAAATGAGGAAATAGGACCAAATTTGAAGTTTGCAATGGCATGTAGTTAACTGGTGTCGACTAACAATTCTTTAAAAAGGACTCAAATCTCTTACTCCATGTCAAATTGCATGCCCACTTTTGACCTAGCATGGAGATTAAGAAAAACAATTTAACTTTAGTGTTGTCATTTTTTTTAAGATAAATTTATAATATTGATAAACTATAGTTTTCAATGTCAATATATATATATTAAAAATTAATAGGAAACATAGAAAAAGTAAGAGTTACAGGTGCTCACAGCAAGAAAGTGTACATAGTTTTGGAATGGCCCAATATGGAAAGATTGACATTCAATTTGGGATGGAGGGAGTAACATTAATAAAACCAGATAAATTATTTGTCAAATAGATTTCTTTCTTGCTAGAAAATCATATAGAACTCTTGAAAATATGGTAAGGTTACTGGTGGCGTAATAGAGCAGAGATGGTAGATCAATACCAATGATCCTTCCTAAGAGTAAAAGCTTTTGACATGTAGGATTGATTACTCATAAAGTATGGTAGAGAAAAGCTGAAGTGAATTGGACGAAATGGAAAACTCAGAGTTGAGACATAATGTGATGATAAGATACCAACCAAGCTGAAAGGGAAACTTTGTAAGTTATAAAAGCAGTGATGGTAGGATATCAGCCAAAATGAAAATATCTATCTTTTAAATTTGAACTCACTGCACCTCATTGCTCAGATTATAGAGCAGTAAGAAATAGTTGTAGCTGAAATAAAAAGATAAATGCAAGGTAATGGTTAGAACAGAGAAGTAGATGCTATTTATAAAGACGCTAACTAAGTTGGTGAGGCACCTGAGTTGGCATTTTATATAACTCAAAACTCCACTACTAATATATATTCTCCCTCTCTCTTCATTGTACAAGTTAAGAAATTATATCTTTCCATTTTCTCCACATTATCTCCTCAAGAAATATTTCTTTTGCAATTTCTTTTCTAGTTTTATCACCCTTGTACTTGCAGCCAAAGATCTAGTAGAAAAAGAAATGAAGTTGTAAGTAAAACAGTGAAAAGGCAAAACGGAAAACAAGTTGAGAGGACAGCATAGATTATTGGAGTTGCACAGGACAACAAAGAATTAAGGACATTCTGTAAAGGAGTTTGTTGATTCACGAAGAAGGTAAAAGGAGGCTAGAGGTAAAACAAAAGCCATATTGGGTAAAGTAGAAAAGAACTTGATACTCCATGTTCCAGAATTTTTGGACCTAAAACAAGGAAGACAGACATAAGCACTCATCTAGCCAACACCAACAGGTTGAGATGTGCTGAGCTAGGAGATGATGTCAGAATGAGAAAAGCATCATTTCTTATACCAAAACAAATCTGAGTAAATGCAATGCAATGTAGATATTTTCACCACAAGAAACTAATAAAACAACTGAGATGAATAACCAACTAACAGGTATGTCCCAAGACTGCCCTCTTTTTGACCAGAAGGGAAACAAGACAGCTAAAATTCAAATAGAAAAGCTATATGTCAGAAATAACAGCTGAATTTAGTTGGGACAGCCTGATAGAGCACATTGGCGGCAGCCTGCAAAGCTGTTAAGAAGACATACTAAGGATGGCTCTAAAGCCAGGGCCTTGATTTGGCACATTTCCAAAAATGAGAAGCCCACTGGTATCATTTAGTAGGCTAAATAGTTGCTTTTAAGTAATAAATTTTTCGCATCTTTAAAGCAAATATTGCTGAATCTTGTTTTAATTTCATTTTTCTTGAATTTCAAGTGTTAGGGGCAGTTATGTAATTTTCTGAGCATCCTTGAATCATATTTGGGATCTTCTATTTGCACCCCTGAATTTGCTCTCTACACCCCATTTCTTTTAACACCCCAAATTCAAACTCAACAAAATTGTCTTTACTTTCCACACCCCTCACCTCCAAATTTACAATTCCTTATACTCATTCCCAAACCCTAAACTAATCCAACCCTAAACCAATTTCCTTTCTTCATTTGATTCTTAGTTGAATCAACACCAACAATCTCAAGTTTCGAAGAGATTAACAGTTTCAAATAATCCTTTTGAACATAGAGTTTTTTTTTTTTTTTTTTTTTTGTGAAGAATGGGATTGAATACTGTGGGAAAACACTTATTTACAACTGGTTGTAATCTTGTAATCTGTATATTTATATTTGTATCTCTAGAATTAAGTATTTGTATCCCTAAAATTAGGATAGACAATCCCTCAATTATAGGATTAGTTTTTTAGGAAGATTTAGTTTCCTAGTTTAACCCCTAGTTAGTTGTATATAAACCTAAGATTCTTGTATAATTCTTAATTCGCAGTTTTTCAATATACATTCAATTTCCACACTAATTTATTTCTTAGTTTTTCCACATGGTATTAGAGCTTTAGGCTCTTCTTGGGAAGCAAAATTTTCAGCCTTCATTGCTGACTTCTATTTTAGGCCTTCATCGCCGAATCCTGTTTAGGCCTTCATTGCCGAACTCTTTCAAAGAAAGATATCACTACCACCTAATTTAAGGAAATGTCAACTGAAAAAATCACTAAAGTACTACAGATGTCTCAAAAACAAGGAGAGTTCGATAAAGAAGAGATTGAAAAACTGAAAAACTTATTGAAAATATTTGAAAAGCCTACTGTGGTTTTTCTTTGGGTAAGGTTTCTAGTTCAGTTAAAGCTTCCGGTTCTCATGGATTAAATGTCTCAGCTAAGCCTATTACGAGTTCTTAGGTCATTAACTCAGGAGCCACAAACCATATGATACATTCCTCACAAAAGTTAACTACATATAACCTGTGTCCTAGTAATAAAAAAATTATTGTTGCAGATGGTTCACTTACTACAGTGGCAGGATTAGGAGATGCTCAAGTTAATCCCTCATTTGTTCTCAAAAATGTTTTCATGTTCCTAGATTGTCTACTAATTTGATATCTATACAAAAACTTACCAGAGATATGAATCGCAAAGTAACTTTTTATCTCTCTTATTGTGAATATCAGGACCAGAGTTTGGGAAAGATGATTAGACTTGCTAAGGAGAAGGATGGACTATACTATCTTGAGACATCAAATAACACAAGTAATATCAAGAATAGTTTACCTTTGACATTTCTTTTTGAAAAATCTTCCAATAAAGACAAAATCTGGCTTTATCATTTTCGTTTTGGACATCCTTCTTTTGGAACTTTGAGAAACATGTTTCCTTCTTTGTTCAAAGGATTAAATGTCAAAGATTTTCATTGTGATATTTGCGAACTTGCAAAGCATAGACGTGTCTTTTCCAATTAGTAACAAAAGAAGTTCTACTCCCTTTTTACTTGATTCATAGTGACATTTGGGGTCCCTTTACAATTCCTAATATTTCTGGTACGAGATGGTTTGTTTCATTCATAGATGATTGTACCAGGGTCTCTTGGGTTTTTTTACTTAAATCCAAATCAATGTGAATAGTGTGTTTTTAAGCTTCCAAAACATGATCTAAAATCAATTTGGAGTGAAAATCAAGAGATTTAGGTCTAATAATGCAAGAGACTACTTCAACCAAAGTCTATCCACCTATTTCCAAAAAGAGGGGATTATCCATAAGTCATCTTATGTTAATACTCCACAGTAGAATGGAGTGGCAGAGAAGAAAAACAGCTATTTACTAGCCACAACCCGAGCCTTTCCTTTTCAAACAAATGTACCTAAATCTTACTGGGGGGAATCGGTTCTCACTGCCACACACATTATAAATAGGTTACCTTCAAAAGTTTTGGGATTTAAAACTCCAATGGAACTACTCTCACAATTTTATCCCAACCTCAATACCACAAACAATCTCACACCTAGGATATTTGGTTGTACATCATTTGTTCATGTTCACAGTCATAACAGGGGAAACTTGGATCCAAAAGCAATTAAATGTATTTTTGTAGGGTATTCTTCAACTCAAAAAGGATATAAGTGCTATCATCCTCCTACCAAAAAATTCTGTGTCTGCAGATGTCACTTTTGAAGAAAATAAACCATTTTTTACTCAACCTTATCTTCAGAGGGAGACTTCATTCATGGAAGATAAGGATAAAGACTTTTTTTTGCTTGATTTGCCCCCTTCTTCAACATTTACACCCATTAATTCTTCTGAGTCGAAACCTGTTTCTGCTGAGTCCAAGTCAAACACCGAATTTGAGTCTGAACCCATTCCAAATACGGAAGATGTGACAAAGGATAATACTGTTCTTGATTCTATGAAGGAATTACAAGTGTACTCAAGAAGGAAAGTTCCAGATCCTGAAACAGTGCCAGTCTAAGAACCTGATCCTAACTCTGGAAATGAAGTAACTACAGTTTTTGACTCTGTTTCTCAAAATGAGCATGAATCTCCTAAAACTATAACTAGTGATTATGATCTGTCTATTGCCATTAGGAAAGGAACCAGAGAATGTACCAAGCATCCACTATACCTAATCTCTAATTTTGTGTCATTTGAAAAATTCTCCCCATCCCACAAAAATTTTCTTGTAAGCCTAAACACTATTTCTATTCCAACTACATTATTCGAGGCATTATCCAGTGAGAAATGGAGGCAAGCCATGAAAATAAAAATGGAGGCCTTAGAGAAAAATCAGACATGGAAACTGTTAGAGTTGCCTAAAGGAACAAATCCAGTGGGGTGTAAATGGGTTTTCACTGCAAAATACAAAGCAGATGGTACTGTTGAAAGGTATAAAACCAGGTTAGTGGCTAAGGGCTACACTCAAACCTATGGAGTGGATTACCAGGAAACCTTTGCTCCAGTTGCCAAGATGAATACAGTTAGGATTTTGTTATCATTGGCTGCAAATTACAATTGGCAGCTTCAACAATTTGATGTAAAGAATGCTTTTCTACATGGTGATTTGGAAGAAGAAATATATATGAAGGTTCCACCGGGATTTAGAGGTCATCTAGAAGCAAACAAAGTATGCAGGCTGAAAAAAGCTTTATATGGCCTTAAACAGTCTCCTAGAGCTTGGTTCAGGAGATTCGCCAAAGTGATGCTAGCAATGGGATATAAACAGAGTCAAGGAGATCACACATTGTTTATCAAGCACTCTGATTCAGGGAGTCATAGTTCTATTAGTGTATGTTGATGATATAATTGTAACTGGAGATGATGGAAAAGAGAGAGAATCTCTAAAACAGTGTTTGGCTAGAGAATTTGAAATAAAAGAGCTAAGGAGATTGAAGTACTTGCTAGGAATTGAAGTAGCTCACTCACAGCATGGTATTTTCATCTCACAACAGAAATATGTGATGGATCTTCTGAAGGAAACTGGAAAGCTTGCATGTAAACCTGCAAATACTCCTATAGATCCTAATCATAAAATTGGAAAAGCTATTGAAGATGCTGCTGTAAATAGAGAGATGTACCAAAGATTAGTTGGAAGACTCATTTATCTCTAACATACTAGACCTGATATAGCATATTCTGTGAGTGTAGTAAGTCAATTTATGCATAGTCCTAAAGAAGTGCACCTACAGGCGGTCTACCGTATATTGCACTATTTGAAGGCTAATCCTGGGAGAGATATCTTATTCAAAAGAAATTCGGGGTTAGTTCTAGAAGCTTATAAAGATGCTGATTATGCAGGTTCAGTAACTGATAGAAGATCCACCTCAGGCTAATGCACTTTCTTAGGTGGTAATCTTGTGACTTGGAGGAGTAAAAAACAAAATGTGGTGGCAAGATCAAGTGCTGAAGCAAAGTTCAGAGCAATGGCTCAAGGAATTTGTGAACTACTATGGTTAAAGATTATCCTAGAAGACTTGAAGATCAAGTGGGATGGACCAATGAGACTCTACTGTGATAATAAGTCTGCAATAACCATTGCACACAATCCTGTGGAACGTGACAGAACAAAACACATTGAAGTAGACCCGCATTTCATAAAGGAGAAACTAGACAATGGGTTGATTTGTGCCCCTTATGTATCAACCAAGGGTCAACTTGCAGAGGTGTTGACTAAAGGTCTTAGCAGTGCAACATTTCAAGAAATTATTTCCAAGCTGGGAATGGAAAACACCTATTCACTAGCTTGAGGGGGAGTGTGGGAAAACACTTATTTACAGCTGGTTTTAATCTTGTAATCTGTATATTTATATTTGTATCTCTAGAATTAAGTATTTGTATCCTTAAAATTAGGATAGACAGTCCCTCAATTGTAGGATTAGATTTTTAGGAAGATTTAGTTTCCTAGTTTAACCCCTAGTTAGTTGTATATAAACCTAAGATTCTTGTATAATTCTTAATTAGCAGTTTTTCAATATACATTCAGTTTCCACACTAATTTATTTCTTAGTTTTTTCACAAATACCACAACCTATGTTACCTTTTTTGTGAAAATGTGACTTTAAGGAAATGCGTTTCCCATTTCCATATGGCTGTGCAAGTTTCCGGATTTACATTTCCGGAAGCTTTTAGAAGCTTCCAGATATGCAAATGCTTTTACAAATCCATAAGCTTCTGAAAGTTTCTGGATATTTAGAATGCTTATTTTTTGGTAGTTTTAATAGTTTATTCGTCACTCTTCATCCCAACCTATTTTTTACATTCTGGGTATGCATTTTCACAATGTACAAGATAATAACAGTAATTTTAATGGTTTAGGGTTTGTGATGGAGACAAAGAAAAGAAGGAAAGGGTGAATGGAATGCTTGAAAGGTAATTTACCAAAGGTTGCTAAGTAATTTTATATAGAGGTATTTTTGTAATAAAAATTTTAGTGCGTATAGAGCAATTCTTGAGGTGCAAATAGAAGATCCCATCATATTTTGGCTTTTCCTTAGGTTATTGGGATTTTATTCATAGTTTAGGTTGCAACAATGGTATTATTGTATTTTTTATGATTATATACACCAACAAAGATCTATAAAATCAGCCAGAAAAATAAAGATCTACAAATTTGAGATGTCAAAAGAAATACATATCACCATCAAATATAATAAGAAAGTATTCACAATTTCACATTACCATCTCAGTAATTCGCATAAGCTGCTCTTCATATGATCTTTCAATCTGCTCCTTAAACTCAGATATTTCTCGCTTGGAGTAGCCTTTTAATGCAGCAACCTCTTCTTGTTGATCACGGAGTTTCATTGCCCCTTTCTGTCCAATAAATGCAATCAAATCACTTCTTTATACTAAAATCACTGCAAACTGAAAAAGAATGTAAAGACACTAACCTTCAGTTCCACAAACAACTCATCAGAATAAGGTTGGCCACCATTCTGCGCTATGACCATGTTCACAAGTGATAGAAGATCCTGTACTTGTTTTACTCTCTTGGTTTCATCCTTAGTCTTGTTGTCAAAAAGTACAAGTCGGTTTTCACAAAGAACTAGAATGTCCTGATCATTTTGCAGTAACGATAAAGTAAGTATCTGTTGCTATTGCACACCAATTATGCTTAAGTTTCAATATGCTGACTACCAAAGTAACAACAACTATAACTGTGGGAAAACACTAATTTACAACTGGTTGTAATATTGTACTCTGTATATTTATATGTGTATATCTAAAATTAACTATTTTTATCCCTAGAATTAGGGACAAAAAATTAGGATAGACAATCCCTCAATTATAAGATCAGTTTTAGGAAGATTTAGTTTACTAGTTTACCCACTAGTTAGTTGTATATAAACCTAAAGATGTGACAAAGGATAATATTGTTCTTGATTTTATGAAGGAATTACAGGTGTAATCAAGAAGGAAAGTTCCAGATCCTGAACCAGTGCACGTTCAAGAACCTGATCCTAACTCTAAAAATAGGTTAACTACAGTCTTTAACTATGTTTCTCAAAATGAGCATGAATCTCCTAAAACTATAACTAGTAATTATGATATGCCTATTACTATTAGAAAAGGAACTAAAGAATGTACTAAGCATCCACTATTTCAATTCCAACTACATTATCCAAGGCATTATTCAATGAGAAATGGAGGCAAGCCATGAAAATAGAAATGGAGGCCTTAGAAAAAAGCAAAACATGGGAACTAGTAAAGTTACCCCAAGGAAAAAATCCAACTGGGTGTAAATAGGTTTTCACTGTAAAATACAAGGCGGATGGTACTGTTGAAAGATATAAAACCAGGTTGGTGGCTAAAGGCTACACTCAAACTTATGGAGTAACCTATTAGGAAACTTTTGCTCCAGTTGCCAAGATGAATACAGTTAGGATTTTGTTATTATTGGCTGCAAATTACAATTGGCAGCTTCAACAATTTGATGTAAAGAATGCTTTTCTACATGGTGATTTGCAAGAAGAAATATATATGAAGGCTCCACCGAGATTTGGAGGTCATCTAGAAGCAAACAAAGTATGCAAGCTGAAAAGAGCTTTATATGGCCTTAAACAGTCTCCTAGCGCTTGGTTCGGGAGATTTGCCAAAGTGATGCTAGCAATGGGATATAAGCAGAGTCAAAGAGATTACACATTGCTTATCAAGCACTCTGATTCAAGGAGAATCATAGTTCTATTAGTGTATGTTGATGATATAATTGTAACTGGAGATTATGAAGAAGAGAGAGAATCTCTAAAACAATGTTTGGCTAGAGAATTTGAGATAAAAAGAGCTAGGGAGATTGAAGTAGCTCACTCACGACATGGTATTTTCATCTCACAACACAACTATGTAATGCATCTTTTGAAGGAAACTGGGAAGCTTGCATGTAAACCTACAAACACCCTTATAGATCCTAATCATAAACTTGGAGAAGTTAATGAAAATGCTACTATAGATAGACAAAAATACCAGAGATTAGTTGGAAGACTCATTTATCTATCACATACTAGACCTGATATAGCATATGTTATGAGTGTGATAAGTCAATTTATGCATAGTCCTAAAGAAGTGCACCTACATGCTATCTATAGTGTATTGCACTATTTGAAGGCTAATCCTGGGAGAGGTATCTTATTCAAAAGAAATTTGGAGCTAATTTTAGAGGCATATACAGATGCAGATTATGCAAGTTCAATAACTAATAAAAAATCCACCTCAAGCTACTGCACTTTCCTAAGAGGTAATCTTGCGACTTGGAGTAGTAAAAAACAGAATGTGGTGGCAAGATCAAGTGCCAAAGCAAAATTTAGAGCAATGGCTCAAGGAATTTGCGAACTACAATGGTTAAAGATTATCCTAGAAAACTTGAAGATCAAGTGGGATGGACCAATGAGACTCTACTGTGATAACAAGTCTGCAATAAGTATTGCACACAATCCTTTGCAACATGACAGAACAAAACATAATGAAGCAAACCGACATTTCATAAATAAGAAACTAGATAGTGGGTTGATTTGTACATCGTATGTATCAACCAAGAGTCAACTTGCAGATGTTTTTGACTAAAAGTCTCAGCAATGCAACATTTCAAGAAATTATTTCTAAGCTGGGAATGGAAAACAACCATTCACCAACTTGAGGGGAAGTGTGGGAAAACACTTATTTGCAGCTGCTTGTAATATTGTAATCTATATATTTATATTTGTATCTCTAGAATTAAGTATTTGTATCCCTAGAATTAAGGATAAAAAATTAAGATAAACAATCCCTCAATTATAAGATCAATTTTAGGAAGATTTAGTTTTCTAGTTTACCCACTAGTTAGTTATATATAAACCTAAGGTGCTTGTATAATTATTTATGAGCAGTTTTTCAATATATATTCAGTTTTACTCTTAGTTTTCCACACAATAACCTAAGACCGAAATTATATGTATCAATATGTGAATTGATAAAGAATCTTTTGGTTGCTCAGTGCATAACGAGAGATATGTTTCACTTAGAGCCTAACATTCTATGCTACCCACGAATGCTTTATTCTCCCTCCAATTTGAGAGCATTGAATAATACCGATCATTGATACACTCATCTACTTTTTAATCATTATCCTGAAACCCAAGGAAACAAAGTGCATTCAAGAAATGTCCAAATAAGCTTCAAAAAGAAGGCAAAGAAGAAAATGAACAAATTTCTAAATTCTGTACAGAAAAAGGAACAAAGAAGAGTCTGCCCAGTCCCCTCCAACCAAATACATGCAACAATATTTACAGGGAGATTGCACCAGAATTCAAGCATTTTTCATCAACCAATTTACCATTTTTCATAAGATACACCTGTTGGAAAGATTTTGGCAATAAAATATTCTCAGATGCAATCAAAAGAAAATACTCTAGAATCCAAGCAAATATTCAACATGATATAAGATCAATTGATTCCCCATTATTTCCTCTACATTAGACAGAAGAAGCCCTTGTCATGAGCATGTCATTCATGAGAACCTTTCTGTCAGATATCCAGACAAAGACAGCCACTTGGAGGCACCTAAGCAATCATATCTTCTCAAATGAAGCACTCATGCATCTAGCAGCCCTCTAACAAAGATAAAAGAACTGATCATAAAGTTTATGCCATCCAACTGAAGCACCAATAACTTTATCTTTGCAAAATCAGCAAAATCAAAATTTTGAACTTCACATCTAAGCAAAGCATTATACTTCAATAATTAGTAAATGTAAAACATGATATTAGGACTATTAGGAACCCAATATTTTTTTATCCCGCCACCTGGTCAGGATTATATTCTTCAAACCCCAACACATAGGTGAACTGAACACAAATAAAGTAGGTCATAAATGTAAATTCAAGTTGCATTTGGTTTAGGGAGCAACCTTTAATGGCTGTGGACACTCACGACCCAAATAATCTTCCAATGTTTCTTCATTTTCTTCAAGCTCATCCCCACCAGTAAACACTACAATCATGTACTTGACAATTTTGCTTCCAAACAAAGTCTGCAAACTATGCAATGCAGCTTCCTCTTCTTGAGAAAAGCGGGTCCTAACCGAGAAAACAACAAGAACTGCATGGATTCCATCCTTGGCAAGATCAATACATTTGACAATTTCTTTTCCAATGAATTCAGATCCAGCTGAAAAATCAAACAACCCTGCATTGACATGTTAAATTAGTCTTTATAGTAAATGAATTGATAATTGATAACCTAGGAAAGAACAGCCATTCCATGACCAAGTTAATGATACTACTATCAAATATAATTGCAAAAATGATACTATCAAATATAATTGCAAAAATGATCCAAGTAAGACACCATACCAGGAGTATCAATGACATTCACAATTTGCCCATCTTTGAGCACTGTTCTCTGCAATTCACAAGTACTAGTAACCCCAGATGAGCTAGCCCTTGACTTGAAGGACTTTTTTCCAAGAATACTATTGCCAGTAGCACTTTTCCCATTGCCCGTACGTCCAACTAAAACCACAGTCCTGACTCGGTTGGAGAGTGGGGTAAACTCCCAATCATCATCTATCGCACTTCCACCCATCATATATGGTTACCTGTTACATTAGAAAACACTTTTACCCTCGAGACAATAATCCCACTATTTAATTACAATAATGCATCTCATCAGTCAATAATCAATGTTTTTTTTTCTTTTTTTTTCCCTAATGTTGAGCTTACAATAATCTATGAACCAAACTTACAATTCCACCGCTTCAACAAACATGGCAAGCTACTCAACTCCAACCAATAAAAAAAATACCAAATAGAAAGACATAAATATTTATAATTCCAGAAAATGAGTTCATTAAGTTAAATCAACCATATAGCTAACCTGATAAATCAACTCATATTACAGCACCTAATTTCAACTCTACCATCGATAACTACAGTCTACCAGATCAAACAATTTTCTCAAATCTTATTACTTGGATTAAACCTCAGTTGAATTGCTAATTATTTTCTCAAAATTAATGATAAAATTTAAATTTCACAAAAAAAAAAAAGAGAAGAAAACCATAATGATACAATAAAAATCTCGGGCTCAAACATCAAAGACTTAGCTTCCCTGCAGTTATGACAATCCAATTTTATGAAAAATAAATAAATAAACTGATCGTGTTCGAACAATTTTAAAAATAACCCAAAAGAATTTGGAAAAATTCAAGGGTTTTTCTTGCTTCCGACTTAAATCCGCCAACCAAACAGCAAGAAGGAAGAAAATCTCAACAAATATGGAATTAGAATAGAAAAGATTAGATTACTTACCAGGGAAAGAAGAAAGTGAGAAGATGAGAGAGAAAGAAAGAGGAGCAGAGGATACTTCGTGCTAGAGAAAACCGGGACTATTTGTTGACTTGAAGAAATAGATAAATATATATATTAATACTTTTTATCCGTTATCCCGTATTCATAAATGTATTTTCAGAATATTATATTAAAATGAGACCTATTTTAATTGAACTAAAATTGCTGATTTTTTATTTAATTTTATCAAATTTCAAGATTGTATTTATTATTATTATTATTTCTATCAAATTAGGATGGAATCATTTTTATTTTATTTTTTAATATTTATAATTTATATCTAAATTGTGTACTCCATCTGTGTCACAAATATTATTTTAGTTTAAATTTTTTAATCAAAGTTTTCAATGTTTGATTTTAATTGTTTAAATATTTTGTTAAATTAAATTTTAACAAATATTTGTCATTTATGATCTATAATCTATACAAAAGGGCATATGTTGAAAAACTTCTAAATAATAAAACGAATATTTTTGTTCATTATATTTTATAGTGCCATTTTAAATTTTTTATTTTAAATAAATATTTTTTTGAATATGCATATGTTAAATAAAAATTAGTAATGAGATTTATCTAATTTATAAATTTTGCTTTCCACTATTATTTTAAATGAGAGGTCTACGAGGAATACCTATTATAAGTGGAGCGAGTTTCATCCTTAGTTAAGTTTATTTGTTGCAATTTTTAACTTATATGTTTTTCATTTGCATTTTTAGTTTAGTTAATTTTTTAAATATAATTTAATGTATTCTAATTTCGTACTTAGTATTTATAATTTCCATGAAAATGATCTCTAGTTTTATGATATTACTTAGTAACGAAGCAAACACCATTTCACTTATCAAAAATAGCGACTGCTTTTTCATCATGAGAAGCTAATGAATATTTTCTTTCCTTAATCACAAAAGAACCACATGGATTTAATTAAATGGAAACGGTTCCATAGCATTTTAGAACTTTTGGCCTCAAAGAAATTTGTGAATATATGAATTTTATACAGCAGGATTAAGCAACATCCATCTCAGTATTCAATTCAAGCATACAATCATAATTATCAAGAGCTTTTTCGATCATTCAATTTAAATGATAAGGCCTGTAGAGCTAAGACACTAAACGAAAATGATAAAAATATATGTACAAAGATGACAGGAGTTAAATTTTAGTAAAAACATGAGTTTAACATAAATAAAAAAAAAAATGTATTTTGTATTTTCTGTGTCAGAACGAATAATAATAAATAATTTTCATGTAAAACATGATACAAATACACGTATTATCAATATTTTACACGATATAAATACTTAAAACTGTCAAGTTGTCATGTCAAGGAGCAGCTCATGCAAAATTCCTGATTCCTCCAGTCTCATTCATTACCTTCTTGAAGCATATGGAGAAATGATACAGTGGGGAAGAACTTCAAAATATCCAGAATAGATTAAAGACATGAAAGAACTCATTGCCAAGATTGGCTTGCATGATAAAGAACCACCACTTTTAAGTGAAAGGGTAAAAATTTGAAAACAGCAAGCTACCCAGGAGGATGTACGCAGAACAGTATGCCCATATCATATATCCACATGTCTTACTAATACTGGGAGAATACATTAGTAATGAAGCAAACCAATAAAGAGAAGGACTGGCTGACAAGAAACGTGTTGCTACCTGCCAAACGTAAATTATTCAAATGATGTTCAAATCTAAGCTACCTTTCACAGTGCATATCAATTGGTAACATAAAATACAATAAACAAAAACTAGAAAAAAATGAATGAAAGTTCTATGATTTCATACTTACTGATTCTTTTCTATGAGCCATACATACAAATCAAGACAAATTCTATTTCCAATCACATTTTTGCTCACAACAGCCAAGTACTAACTACACCATCTCACTAATTAAAATTGCTTAATACAACCAATATAACACTTGTGCACTTGCAGTTTTGCCTTGAAGTTTATATGGAAATGCATTTCTGTGCTCATTGTGTAAAACCTGGTCTGCACTTATGGACCTGCAGTTCCTGCAGTTCCATAAGGCGGGCCATTTACCAGAAATACAAATCGGCATTATGGGAACATTACCAAAAGTGCATATCCATCTGTTTGGAAGTGGGTTGTGAGTAAGGCAAGGTAATTGGATGCAGATGAAGGGATATAAAGTAATTTTATTAGGGATAATAAAGTAATTTAATCTAAGGGTAATTTTGTAATAAAAAATGTGGCAGTCATAAGCAAAATTATAACTGCAAATAGAATTTCCCACAATTCGATCATGTTGTAATTCCTTTATCAGGAATCCTTTTAACTTCATTTTCCTCCTATAATGTTTCCCACATTTAACAAGAAATCGTGCTAAGATACTAAAGTTACAAGTTACAACACTCAGATTAAAGAAGCATATCTAATCTTCATGCAAAAACTTAGAAAGTAATATATAAATTCTTAATGCATAAGGTATAGAACAAAATTCAATATACAATTTATCACCACTTAGTAGAAGCTTTTAAAGACTAAAAAAAAAAATTATTTTCTAAAATGCAGAATTGAAAGCCATGTTTGCTATTATACTACTGTCCAATATTGAATTTTGCCATTGTACTTCACTTCCATTGCATTTTACCAGAATACTTAAATTTGGACAGAATACTTAAATTTGGACAAAAGTATAATAGCAATTTAGCCTTAATGCCAAAAGAAAGGATTTAAATAACTCAAATCAACTAAAGTCATATTTGATGCATAAGATGATTGATAAGATAGGATGATAATCATCTCTGGCATAGGAAGATTCAATCTTCCCAAAATGGAGAGAATTATTTTTAATCGATAGAATTGAACTTACATATCCTATTATACCTTTAAAAATTACATCAATAATTTAAATTGTATAAACTTTAAAGAAGGATCATTTTGACTAATAAATAAATTATCCTATCATAATCCTTGCATGCATCAAACACAAGATAGTATAACATTATTTGATCTGATATTAATCATAATATTATCTTATCATATCCTATCATAATTTTATGCACCAAACACACCCCAAGAGTCAATGCACACCAACGAGTCCTTTGTTCATAGTATTAAGAGAGAAAAAAAAAAAAAAAAAAAGGGAAGGAAACTATGTAGTAAATGAACCCAACTTTATCCTAGGATTTAAAGTAACGGTATAAAACATGATCTACTTATGTCCACTAGAAATTCTAAATAGATATGACAAACAAAAAGTGATTTATTCCAAATATCATTGATTCACCATGAAATTTCAGATATAAGCCCCATCATGCTTAGTTTCAACAACAATCTTCCCTAGTGAAATCAAAAGGCAAAAAAATTATTGCATCTAAGGGAGAGTTAGCAAGAGGGGAAGGAAAGAAGATAAGAAAAAGATTGATATAATGCTTACTCATGTTATCAAATTTTTGCAAACATAATGGTCTTGAGCAATTTCAAGGATGCAAGGACAAAAAGACAAAACTGACCTGGACATGCATGACAAAAAATGCTGTAGCTACCATGAAGCTTAAGTGCAGGATATATGGGAGAATAGAAGCAGACGTGTATCCTAGCTTCTCTACTGATCCATGATCTATTCTGCACTCAGCAGGATCCCCTCCTTGGTTCATTTTCTTCCTCAATTTAATATTATGGTTTTCTGTCACAAAGATAATAATTGCTTCAACAGGTAGCCTAAATGGTCCAACATATTTTTTAATATAATATCTTGCAAGAAAGATAATTAAAGGTTGAGTTGACATTTAAAATCAGAGAGGCATGCTTAACATAATACTTAAATGACCACTATATGTGAAAGTCATCACAACCTTGGTCAAATCAACAACCATGCCCACACATAGTAGGCATTTACAATTGACCAGCCATTTAGTTTTTGAAAGTAATACCTTGCCTCCTAGAAGTATATTTCTCTGAAATTGGGGGGCTGTTTGATGATTTATCCTCAGAAAATATCACAACCGTGGAACTTTTTTCCTCAAGTGAAGGTTGAAAACCCAAAGATAAAACTATTTCAGGTCGTGACTTCACATAATAGATAATCGAGCAAACTGCCAAAGACAATATTGGAGATGCCAGTAGAAAGTTTGGCAATTGTTTTAATTGGAAGTATTTCAAGAACCCCACTCCCCTGGCATTAAAAAATAATAATAAGAATAAAGTATAATATTAAAGCATGCAACTGAAAGGCAATCACATCAAAATCCTAATTTTGAAAGCTAGAAATAGATACCAAAGAGCTTTTCTGCAAGCGGCATGTTTAAATTAGCAACTAGAAAACCTGAGAATTATTAACGTCTCATGCATGATTAAAATGAAATGAATGGAATACGATGACCAATTGCAAAAGAACATACCAGTAATGACTTTGAATGTAATTGTATAACAAAGGTATTCTTGCTTTACACCAAGGCCTCATTTCATCTGAAGAAACGTCCAAGGCATATATTGTGGTAGCCATATGTTTGAAAAGTAATAAAAGGAACAAAAATGCACATACAACGCAGTGCTCCACTTAAAAGAATCTGCAATGCCAACTAGCATGGAAATAGTAAATTAGTTATGAAACCATCCATTCCCATAAATCAACTGACTTTGATGCAAATTTGCATACTATACATAAAAAAGAAAAACAAATTTTTAAGCATTTCCTCAATTCCAATGAGGGATTAATAGACCAATATAGCTACTTTGACATTTTCAATATGATCCACCGTCATTGAGGACTAAATTAAGGAAACATGTCTAACATGTAAAGAGCCACGACAACTACAAATCCCTAGTGGGAACATGAATATTAAATGGAAGATATTCATATCACAAGGACAAGAAGACCAAAAAGAACATGGATGGAAACCATAAAAAAATCTTCATTTTTACTGAACTTATTTGAGTATGGTCTTAAATAACACGTGCTAAAGCAATATAATACGTGAAGCCAATCATACTTAGTGGGAAAAGGTTTATTTTATTCGTTTGTTTAGTGTGGCACTTCATTTTGCTAAAGACTAAAGGGTGCAAAACTAAAGTTGGCAACTCGGCATGCACTAAA